GGTGCTGTGTTCACATGATCTGCATGCAGACATTGGTCTTGAATCGAAAACCCAGATCCCTGGAGGATCCAAAAAGTAAATTCCTTTATGTTCCTACGAAGAGCCTTTAGTAGTATAGGGTCCCAAATTAGGGGCTCTACTTTCTGGATCCTGCCGGGTCTGGGAAGCTTCGCGGCTTCGAGCTCTAGCGGCTTCCGGTCAGAGGCAGCATTGCCCCAGACCGACATCCACGCATGCATGTCCGTGCATCCATCCATCCATCTATGCATGTCCATCCATCCGTGAATGCCTTGCACTCCTACAATAATTAATCTTATAGACTTCCTGTAGCGGCACATGAGACAATGACAGCGCGGTCGCTCCGTGAGCTCCGGATCTCTCGACTGACGTGGCGGCACCCAAAGCCACAGCCGCAGACAAAACGAGTGCCCCAACGCACGATTCTAGCGCTCCACCCGCCTGCACCCGCTTCGATGTCCGGAGAAGCTTTACGCAGGCGCTCCAGGTGCTTTGGCCTATCGCCTTCCGAAAGATCCGCCAGCCGGAGGCGGGGCCACGCCCCGTCGGGCAGCGACTCCCAGGCTGCGGCGGGGATTTTGCCGCAACGCGCGAAATTCACCTCCTGGCGAAGGCGGCTAATGGACGGCTCTCTTCTCTCGGATTCTGTGTCTAGGGCTGGGAGGCCTCCAGCTTCCGGGAGCGGCCCAAAGCCGCGAGGAGCTCCTCCGAGCCCTCGCCGCGTGCGACGAAACACCTCGGGCCCCCGGGCATCGGAGCATCGCACGCTCTCCCTCGCAGACTCGCACACTCCCGCCAGCCAACAAGGGCCAAGGCGCGACCAAAAGCTCGCCTTCCGGAGCTCCGGCCACTCCGCGGCTCGGAGCTCCTTCCAGGCCTCGCCCGGGACCGCCCAACAATAGTCCATCAGCAGCTCCTGGGAAAAAGCAGCAACCCATATCCGGAATTGTTCTCCCCAAAAGCGCCGGAGCAGCTCGGAACTCGGCGGGGTCCTGCAGCTTCCGGCACCGCGCCAGCCCGGCCAGCAGCGCCTGGGAGCCCTCGCCAGATTCGTAGAAGCACCTCGGCTCTTTCGCGGCGCTCCGAAAAAGGCACCAAAACTGCGCAGCTCTCCCCCAAAAAGCGCAGAGCAAGGCCGAGGGGCCTGTAGAGATCCACCTTCTGCAGGCGGTCGCCGTCCAGGCTCCCGCCCAAGCGCTCCCAGCAGTCCGC